TGGTCAATGAGGCACCTCCTTTGTTTGCTTTTTTTTTTTGCTAGCGCTCCAGTGCTAGCTGTGAGACCTTTTATCGTATTGACCTCCCTGGGGATGTGTACCTGTACCTGTACCTGTGGATGGGACAGCCCACTCATGGGTGCGTACAGCAGTTTAAGTTTTTGTGTAATTCCAGATTACTGTACCTAACCATTGGCCAGTCTGCAGCTCCACCCAAAGTGTGTTCATTGGTGTGCCTGTTTGCCCACAGCTTGGCCAACATGAACTGTTCTGTCCTTGCATCACCTTTGACAGTTGACCATGAGGTGGAACTTCAGTTGCTTTATTTTGCATTTCCCTCTAGTGATTTGGGGCATTCTTTCTGTGATTGTTAATAGTTTACATTTGTTCTCTAAAGAACTGTTTAAATCTTTTCACCACTTATCTGCTGGAGAATCAGCCCTTCAGTTGTTTAAAGGCCTCTCTCATTCTTCCCATGGGAGGGTCACCAACCTCCTCCTTGTTCTGGTAGTTTTTCTCTAGGTCCTAGATCCCTGAGGGCCGAGGGACTTCAGAGGTCCCTTATGCTAGCCCAGCAGTCATTTTACAGATGATTGAAATTGAGGCTTGGAGCAGTCAGGTGATTTGCCAGATGTCAGAAAACTAATAAATAGCTTGACTGATCTTCAATTCAAGTGTATCATTCACAGAATCACTGAATTTGGGAGCTGGAGGGACCTTGGTGGCTCTCTTGTCCAGTCTCCTCATGCAAGGAATCTGATGAGGTTTAGAGGTTTATGGGTGGTCCTGCCCGAAAGAATTTGACCCGAGCCTTCTTTCAGCCAAAGACAAGGTGTATTAGAACATCCGTCATATTGGGCAGACTCTTAGGGAGTCTGAACGTTAGTGAGGTATTGGCTAGATTATAAGAATCTGAGCAGTGGCTAGATTTTAAGAATCTAAGCATCTTAATGGAGACAAGATGGACCTCATATACAGAAAGACTGTGGGGGGGGATCTAGGAGTGGCCAAGTAGTTTGGGTAGACTGAAGGAGGGGTCTAAGGAGGATCTGGATGGGAGTGGCCAGTAAGTTGCAGTGAACAGAACTCCTGGGACCTGGACCATGTGGCCAACGGAGAATGGAGCCTAGCTAGGATTAAGGGTGGGAAGTGGCCTGGGGCCATAGGGAGGTCCACAATGAAAGGCCAGTTGATGGGATTATAGCCTCAGGGGACCTCCAGAGATTTGGCCACTGTGGGAAAGTCCAGGGTTTTTCCTTTCTGGGTTCCAGATCCCAACCTCATCAAATCCTCGCTGTGACATCAAACCAGGGGGCTTCTCACTTCTTTCCCTCTTGAAGCCACACAGAACAAGTCTACTCCTCCGTGTGCCATCCCTTCGGAGACTTGAAGATAGCTCTCCTCTCCTCCCTCCTACTCCCCTTGTCCCCCAATCTCCTGCAGGCCAGACGTCTCCAGTTCCTGTAATCCTCTGTGACTTGGACCCTGTGCCCTTCCACCGCCCTGCTTGTTCTCCAGCTTGTTACTGCCTTTACATGTCAGGTATGTGACCCGGCTGATAGAAGGCCACAGGACTGTTGCCTCCCTCCTGGAAGGAGGGCTTCTGTTGACATAAAAATTGTCCAAGGTGTTCTTGACAGATATTGCTGCCGAGACATTTTAAAAATGTTTTCTTGCATGCTGAACGTAGAACGTGTACACAAAGGCCAGTGGGTTCTGAGCAGCCTTTTCAGCAATGTTAGGTGTGTCTTAGTTACTTCAGGCAGGATGGATACTATAGAATTACACAAAGGGCAGTAAAGATTTACACCTTGTCTGCATCGGGTGTGATTGTGGACTGATCAGGAAACATCAGGGATAGAGCTAAAACTTGCAGACTAACATTAGTACTAGGGTTGTAGTGAGTGAGTCAGTCATTAAACATTTATTAAGAGCCTGCTGGGTGCCAGGCTCTGTGCTAAGTGCGGGATACCAATATAAAAAAGATAGCCTGGTCCCTCGAGGAGTTTATAATCTAATGGGGGAAGACAGTGCGCTTTCCTGAGGTAGGGGCCTGCAGGAAAAATCAGAGGAATCCGGTAATAATGCAGCTGGGGTAGAGATGAGCTCCCTCCTGACCTGGTGCCTGGGAATGCTCACCTTAAGTATGGAGAGGCAGAAAGTCCTGTCACCGACCAGTTACTCACCCAAGCCCAAGTGTCTGTGGGGAGGATTGGGGGGGTCTCAGCTCAGTTCCCAAGGTGTCAGCGAGTCACGAGGAAATGGTGGCATTAAAGCTGAGACTGAAGAACCTTGTCCTGTGGATGCTTCTGGAGATGAAGGTGGCTTCTGTGGCTGCCACATGTCCCCACTTGGCGCTGCTGAGCTCACAAGCCACTGCAATTCCCAGATTTGTTTTTTTTAGGATGGCTGCTCTTTAAGCATGCTTTGGTTCCTGACCTTGGCTCCTGGCCCTCCCAGCTTTGGGTGATCTGCATGTAGGATCAGCATGCTCGCTCTGCCTTGAGCCAAGCCAGTGACAGAAGTGTTCAGTGCCAGAAGGCCAAGGATTTCTGGGTTACCTTGCTAGAGACTTAGGCTGGCATTGACTAAATTCCTGATTCGCGTGTAGTGAGTCAGGGTCGTGTGTCTTTTTTCTTTTGAGAACTTTTTTCCAAGTTTTTGTCTCAGAGGGGAAGGGGGAGGGGATTGCTGAGAGTCTGATAAATACAAGAAAGGAGGTCTGGAACATCTCATTTAGTCCGATGTTACGACAGTTAAATTAAGTGGAGAACACAGAGATATGCCAGTCACACAGTGTATTTTTTGTCGCACTTGGAGAAGAGGGCTTTTGGCAGAGCCGTTCCCTTCCCTACAACTGCTTGGGAAACCTTTTTCGTGGGAAGGATTGAGACTTTGGGGCTTCTTTTGTAGTTAGTCTCTCTGATAGATTTAGGGATTCTAGTCGACCCTCCTACCCTCAAATGAGCAAAAGTGGGTTTTGGACCTGCTGAGCTGAAATGAAGGAGGGGGTGTTTTGGGTGGGTATAAAAAGAGCTAAAGCCTGTAGGCAGAAAGGAAAGGGGATGAATCTCATCACTCCCAAGTATCTTTGAATTTTTGTCTTTTGGCCTAGGATACAAGTCTCCCCAGATCTGCTGGGCTCCAAATTTTAAGCCACAAAAAAGTGAATTCATTTAAACAGGGCTTATTCCGTGCTAGAATCACAGGATTTCAGAGATGGGAGGGACTGTAGCGGTCGTGTTCTTGTTACGTACCATCAGTTGGAGGGCTCCCACTGCCTCCCACGTTAGAGAGCTCCTGGTGTGGTTACGTTGTTTTTTTCTGAAATGAAGCATACGTTTGCGTCTTTACAGTTTCTCCCCACTGCCCTTCAGTGCCAGACTGGAGGAGATTAAATCCTGCTGTTGGGTACTTCAAAGGAGCTATGGTGTCCCTGGGTCTGTGACGGACTTCCATGAGTGTGGGGCCTTTTTCCATTCTGGTTGCCTTCCTGTGGATGTTCTCCAGTTTGTCAGGATGTGCTGCTCAGAAGGGACCACCATACCCCAGGGCCAGATACAGTAGGACTGGCTTTGGCTTATTTTAGCAGCTCTACCCTACTGATGCATTGAGCTTGCAATCCATTAATAGCCCCTTGTGTTTTTCAGACCAACACCTGTCTAACTGCTTCCCCATCCTGATTTCTTGAGCCCAGTGTTTCTCCTTATTAAATCTCATCGTATTAGGTTCAGTGCATTGTTTGAACCTGTCACCCTTTTTGAATCCTGACTCATCCAGTGATTTTGATAGAAGCTGTCTTTGACTTTATCCGGCTTACTAGTAGAAGGGTTACATGGCCACTGGCCACAGAAATCCTGGGTTCCTTCTGTTGGAGACCTTCCCAGCTCCTTGAGGCTGGCCAGTCAGCCCATTCAGAATCATCTAACTGTGCTTTCCTCTAGTCCGTATCTCTCCATTTTCCTGTCAGAGTAGCAGAAGATAAATGGAAAGAACAAAAAAAAAATCAAAGCTGAACAGTGTGTCGTGATTAGTGACCAAGCCTGGCCCTAAGGATGAGAAGAGAAAACACATTCCCTTCTTGGGGGAGGTCTCACACTTGGTTGCTGGGCTGGCCGCTTTTCTGTGGTTGTTTTCCTCCCCCTTTATTTCTTATTCTTACAAGGGCTCAGGGGCTGACCTGGCACATCCTGCTTATCTGAGCTGGGCAAGTCACCTCCACCTCTGTAGAACTAGCAGGTGCTGAGAAAGAATTAACCTGCATTGGGGAAGGGCTTCCTCTCCTGGGACATCCCAGTACTGACAAACCCCCGCAGGGGTCCTTATGCCTACGAGGGGAGGGGACCTTCTGGCTGGGAAAAGAAAATTATATAAAAATAAAATATATCACTATAATATAAAAAAAACAACAGCAAAACAGCACAAGATACTTTTATCAAGTGGCTTGTTAAAATTTGGATAAACCATATTTATGTTATTCCCTAGATAAGCCAGTTTAGTAACCCTGTCACAGAATGAATTAAGTTAGTCTGGTATGACTGCTTGCCCAGGCTAGAGGTGCGGTGGCCTCACATAGGCCTGACCCTCCCCCCCCCGAAGCTGCTAGGCACCTAAGCTTTAACTGCCTCCATTTTTCTAGCCTGGCCGTGTTTGCCCCCCTCCTTAGGCCCCCCTGGTTATCCTGGCTCTCAGGGGGCCCACTGGGTCAGTGTTGGATGTAGGGTGGACGCCCATTCCACTATAGCCTGAGTGCTGCTCAGGACTCAGTGACCCACTAGCCTCAGCCTCCCCAGCAGCAGGGATTATGGGCTTGTGCCACCAGGCTGTTTCCTGGATGTTCCCATTATCATTAGCGGAGGGTTGTCCTTTAGAGGCGAGAACTTGGCTCCATGGTGGGCCTGTCGATGGGTGTGTAGTTGATGAGGCCCCATGGGGGAGGCCAGGACCGGCTTTTGCTGGGGCCTCCGGAGAGCTTTACTGTCTTGTTTTTATTTTGGCAGCTCATTGGATCCTTCCTCGAAGATACTGGAGCGCCTATTAAAGAGCCGGAAGAAAATGGTGTCCAAGCAGGCCTTCCTCTGCAGCCTGGGCTCCGTCTACTTGTCTCTGCTCTTTGTCTTCCTCCTCATGGATGTTTATGCCAGGCCTGCGAACAGCTCAGCCTTAAAGGAGAAGGGCGTAGACAAGGACGAGAATGAGATCCTGCCCCGAGACCACCTGAATGGAGTCAAGATGGAGATGGATGGGCACCTGAACAAAGACTTTCACCAGGAGGTCTTTTTGGGGAAGGAGATGGAGGAGTTTGATGAAGATTCAGAACCACGAAGAAACAGGAAAAAACTCATGGCAATCTTTGCAAAGTAAGTCAGGAATAGGCAGTCTAAGGGGCAGGCCTGAGGTTCACGTGCTTCTGGGTGTTTGCTGTGGCCATCAGGAGCTATTGGGCTTTTAGGAGAAAGAGCTGCAGGCTCAAATCAGGAGGCCTGGGGATGAATCCTGCCTCTGATGAGTCTGGGTTGTATGACTGCCTCAGGGGTCCTTCCTCATCTGTAAAATGGGCATGCTTGCACTCCTCTTCCCAGTAGTTCTTGGGGTGATGAGGAATGAGGATCGCAAGCATTAGAGTGTTGTCATGACAGGTCGTGAATCCGCATCTTGTGACAGTCAGATCACTGCCTCACAGGCAAACGTACTCTGTTTAAGGGTGCGTTTGCTGTGTAATGCCTTAAATATTGGTTAGGCACTTAGAGTGTTTAGGCCACTGTGCTAAGTGCTGTAGGTGCCAAGTGAGAAGCAAATCAGCCCTTGTTTGGGGGGATGAAACATTTATCTGGAAAAATAATAATGAGGCTGATAATGATAACAGCTGGCATTTATGTGGCACCTACTGTGTGCCAGGAAGCGTACTAAGTTCTTTTACAAATGTTATCTCATTTGATCCTCACAGTAACCCTGGGAAGGAGGTGTTATTATAGCTCTGTTTTATAGAAGAGGAAACTGAGGCAAACAGTGGTTAAGTGGCTTGCCTTGGGTCACGCAACTAGTAAGTTCCCAAGGCACAATTTGAATTCAGGTCCTTCCTGACCCCAGGCACAGAATTGTATCCATTGCCCTCCCTTAGTTGCCTCTTAATAGAATAGATAAGTATAATGCAGAGTAATTTGAGGAGAGAACCATAGCCAGTGAATCGTATCTGAGCTAGGCTTAGAAGGGGAAGAGATGTGGAGAGCAGGGGGGATAGCTAGCTTGTGGGGCTTCACAGAGGCAGGGGATAAAATGTCGAGTTTGGGGAATAGCTGCTCATCCACGTTGGCTCAAACACAGAGTGAAATAAGGCTGGAAAGGCCATTTGGAGCCAGACTCTAGAGGCAGTGGGTACTAGGCCAAGGAGCTGATATCTCATCCTACAGGGAAGGGGAACCAGTGAAGAATTTTGAGCAGGAAGTGACCTGGTAGCCAGTCAGCAAACCTTTATTTAACACCTACTGTGTGTCGGCACTGTGCTAAGCACTGGAGATGCAAAAAAAAGATAAAAGACCATCCCTGCCCTCAATCATCTTATGGTCTAATAGGAGGAGACCACAAGCAAACAAGCAGTATAAACAGCCTTCATGATTCATGGCGAGCGCTGTGACTGAAGCGGCAGGCTTCCGGAGGAGACGCAGGATCGAGCATAGTTAGGAGGGTTAGCCTGGTAAGGAGGAGGGCCATTACTTCCTGCGAGGCTGGAGCTAAGAAGTGAGCGAGTGGGTAGTGTAGAGGGGGAGCCGAGAGAGGGCATTTTCTCGGTAAAGAAGGAGGCAAGGCCATCAGCCTTCTGTGGGGTAGGCCTTTTAGCCTCCGTAGTGGGGATTATGGGGCTTGGTTTGGCTTGGGGGCGCCAGGGCCCTTAATAAATCTTTACTGAGATTGTGGAGGGAGGCTGGGTAACTCAAGAGCGATTATCTGAGAAGATTTAAAGGATCAATTGCTGAGCTCAGTTGATTTAGGGAACTGATTTCCTAGTGGACAAGATCCATTAGCAATTAGCAGTTTGAGATTAGGAGCTGCCAGCTGCTGGCAGTGCCAGAGGGGGAGGGCTGGTGCTCTGGATGACTTGACAAGGACAGACTTAAGCTCAGGGAATGGTGTGGAGTTTCACTGACTAGTTCTAGGGTCAGGATTGTGAGGGAAAGAGAGTGAGGTGATGGATGAGGGATGGATAGATGGAGAAGTGACCTAAATGAGGGTATGACACATGGGGTCTTAATGAATGCTTATTGACTCAGAATTTCTGGAGTCCAGTTGATCTCTTTATGCTGTTTGTACAAGTTCCTTGAGAGCAGGGGCTATTTTTGCTTTTTTTTTCCTCTCATTTGAGAACCTTGGCCTCATGGTTTCACTGAAAAAATTGAGAGCTCCCTCTTCTCCCTTCATCCTTCTCATCTCCCATCTCCTTCCTTGCCAAGGCAGATCTACTACTTGCCCTGAGGACTCCATTCCATTCTGTCTTTTCTAGACTGTTCCTTACTTCATCCTCACCTTCTCACTCTTCTTCAGACTCTCCCTGTCTGCTGCCTGCCAACGTGCCTGGGTCTCCCCATCCATCCCCACATCTTGTCTCCCTTTGGTGGCTAACCTCCCCAAGAAGGCCACATGTCATTGGTGCCTCCACTTCCTTTCCTCTCACTCTCTTCTTAATTATCCTCTGACCTCATTCAACCGAAACTGCTCTCTCCAAAGTTACCAGTGATCTCTTTTAAAAAAAAATTGTTTTAAGAAGCCAAGATCTACTTTATTACCCTCCTACTCCAACCCTACCCCTCTTAAATGAGAACACAAGAAAAACAGAAATGCTGCTATAAACGTGTACAGGCAATCAAAACAAATTTCTACATTGACCGTGTCTAAAAAGTGTTTGTCTCATTCTGCATTCTGAGTCCTTCACCTCTGTCAGAGGTGGGTGCATGTTTTGTCATTAGTTCTCTGGAATCTTGGTTGGTTATTATTCTGAAATGAGTTCAGCATAATAGTATTCCATCACATGTATAAACCGTAACTTGTGCCTCCATTGCCCAGCTTACAGGCACCTTCTCAGATTCCCATTCTTTTTCACCTCAGAAAGAGCTATAAATATTTTTATACGTCCTTAGAGCTTGCTTTGCTTAGAACTAATCCATCCCTTAATATACCCTCCCTCTAATTCCCTCTTTGCTCCTATTTCCCTGTTGAGTAAAATGTACTTCTGTACCCAACTCTGTGTGTGTGTGTGTGTGTGTGTGTGTGTGTGTGTGTGTGTGTGTGTGTGTGTGTATTTTCTTCCTTTGACCAGTTCAGATGAGAGTGAAGTTCAAATATCAGCTGTTTCTACCCCTCCTCTTTGTATAAATGTCTATTTGTGTACTCAGATTATGTGAGATAATTTTCCCTAACCTTCTTCCTTCCTCCTCCCAGTATTTTCCTCTTCCCTCCTTTTTCATTCTTAGGATCATCAAGGCATAACAGCACTAGTCCTAGGCCTTGTCTAATTGGACTACCTCTGTGATCCCTGAAGATGATAGGGATCAGAGGGGAGACATGTATCATCTACCCATATTTGAATGTAAGTAATTCTTTATTTGTTTTTTTTTTTAAATCATTTTCTTCCCTCCAGTGTTTGAATTTCAAAGCTTCTACACAACTCTGGTCTTTTCATCAGGAATGCTTGGAGGTCCTCTACTTCATTAAAGGTTCATTTTTTCCCCGTATAACATTATACTCAGTTTTGCTGGGTAAGTTATTCTTGGCTCATTGTTTCTTCTGGGATGTCATTTTCCAAATTCTCTGCTCCTTCATAGTGGTGGCTGCTAAATTGTATGTGATGCTGACGAGGGCGTCTTGGTGCTTGAATTCTTTCTTTCTGTCTGCTTGCATTATTATTATTTATTATTATTAATTTGGGATCCTTGAATCTTTCTATAACATTCCTGGGAGTTTGCGTTTCTTTCAGAAGATGACTGATGAATTCTTTCTGTTTACACTTTGCCCTCTGGGTCTCAGAGATCTAGACAATTTTCCTTTAAAATTTCTTAAAATATTATGTCTAGACTCCTTTTTTGGTCTTGACTTTTGGATTGTCCCATGGTCCTTTTTTTTTTTTTTAAGTCCTTAATTCCCCCCCCCCCAATCTGTTTCCTAAGTCAGTTGTTATTGATATGTTTTCTTCTGTTCTCCTCCAGGCTTTAGATTTTGTTTTAATATTTCTTCTTGCCTCATGAAGTCATTGGCTTCTGTTTGAACCATTCTGATTTTCGGAGAGTTTATAGCTCAGGCAGTGTTCTACCTCTTCTACCAAGCCCTTTCTAATTCTTTCTTCTGTAGTTCCCCCTCCCATAGTCAGTAAACTCCAGTGGCTGTGTGTTCCTTTCAGGATCAAATGTGTGATTCTCTGTTTGGCTTTTAGACACCATTCATAGCCTGGGCATTCCTCCCTTTCCAGTCTTCTTTCCTTTCCATGTGCTCTACCGTCCAGTGACACTGGCTCTCCTGGCTGTGGCTGTTCCTCAGACAAGAGCCTCCATCTCCCAGCTTGGGACGTTTCCTTGGCTGTCCCCAAGTCCTGAGACGCTTTCCCTCCTCATCTCTGCCGCCTGGCCTCTGAAGTCCCAGCTCAAACCCTGCCTTCTACGGCAACAGAATCAACCTCAAGTAGAAGCAAGAGCTGCTAAATCATATGTAAAGATTCCTTTGGGCTCGTAGCGACTTAGAAAACACATATTAACATTATTTATGTTTTGTTTTGTTTTTGTATTTTATTAAATCTCTTCCAATTTCATTTTAGTCTGGTGCGGGCCGAATGCACTCAGGAGCACTTTATTCTGCAAGAAGCCTTTCCTAATGCCCTTTAGTGCTGTCTTTTGGGATCATCTTCAGTTCATCCTGTATGTGTCTTATCCATATAGAGTTGTTTGCACACTGTCTCCTCCGTTAGACTGGGAGCTCCTTGAGGGCAGGCACCGTGTTTTTGCTTTTCTCATGTCCTTGGCCTTTTGCTTGGCGCTTGGTAGTTCCTTAGTAAATGCTTGTTGATTGGGTAATTTTAGTAGCGGTAGAACAATTAAAGGGTGATAGTTCTAAGGTGTTATCACTCCCTGTGGGTAGCTTAGGTAACAGGAGGTGGAGAATGTGACAAAGTCCTCTCACTAAGAACTATTTGAAGTTGGGGTTCCATGTTTTGCAGAGGTCTGTAAACTTTATTTTCCAAGAACCATTGGATTAAAAAGTCAAGTATTAGCCACATTAATTTTTTTAAAAACCTATTTAGTAGTGTTTTTGAGCAAAATAGAAAACATTTTATTTTTTTTAAAGTTGCAGGCAAGTTAATGTAGAAGGTTAAACGATA